TCAGAGAAATTAATGCCAACCACATTATAATTGTTATGGTCTTTAATGTCAAAAACATTTCATATGCTTGAAGAAAAGAAGGAGTCATAGTGCGCAAAGTATCTTGTCCGGCTAAAATAAATTAAATTCCGTCTGATTACGATGGATTTGCTTGCTCAAGGTCCAATTTCTTGACAGATAAATTTATATATTTATATAATTATAAAAATATACAGCTATATATATGCGTGTATTTTTGAATGACGTGCCACACATTTAACCCTATAAGTGCATCACAGCTGTTTCACCAGACCCAGAAACCGTGCACAGAGTAGGGTGACCAATATATATAAAAATTAGCTTGTAGTAAAGATCCAGAGTGGCAGGTGTAACGCTCTCTGCAGTGTGTACTACACTTAATCTCACTGCGAACGATTGTGAATTGAGATGGTATGAATCCTTCCTTCAGTAGGAACGCCCGACTCAATCGAAGCTTTGCAAAAATCAAAAGAAGATAAGAGTGTTTTTCAATGAGGATCAATGATGTGTTGAGCAGTTTTTCAAAAGAAGGATCCAGGTGTAAAAGATATAGAAACCAAATCGCTGGAAGTAATTCACACACGTGTACTAGTGTAAAGCACCAAAAACATGCTCTAATACGTTTTTTAGCGTTAGAGTTCCATTCGCTCGTCAAGAGACACAAAATAACCTGGTAACACGTGAAGTCCTTAGCAGCATGGTATGCAAAGCATAACGGAATCCAATTGACTGGCCGGTGGAAATGGCCGATTTCATTGTCGGAGTGAACAAATAAATTGGTTATAACCATCGGCTGTGTAGCCTAGTATTTCAACTCGAGCAGCCTGAACCGCGTCAGCAGACTTAATCAAGAGGTTAATGAACGCTAAAATCTTTTCTTTGGAAGCAATAGGGAAACACCGCCATTTCGGATACGGCCTTTGTGGTCTTACTGAACGACGCCTACATCACACTGAACCAAAGTCTGAAGAGTGATTTCACATCACAACTTAAATACACGGCGGGTACTACAAATTCAACCGTTAAAGAAGCCACGAATTACATGCCCTGTGCTACAGGGCTGCTATAAACTATCCATGTCCGTTGTGCCACCTGCAGGACCTATGGCCCGCTGGTATTTAACAGCATATATCCACTGGTTATTGCTTTATTTCGTAATGGATATCTTAAAATCTACTTAAAACTATGCTAATGATGCATTGATTCACCTGCTTAAAGTAGCTCACGGGTCAGGAGTGATGCATCCCCGATATATATATATATATGTATATATATATATATATATATATATATATGTATAAGAAATATGTGCAGACACGGAAGTGTTGCGCCGAAGTGGGATGTATGCAGTGGACGGCATACTTTTACTGCGACACCTGAGATGGCTCGGTCATGTGAGCCGTATGGATTCGACGCGAATACCGAAACAACTTTTATACGGTCAGCTGAGTATAGGGAAGCTGCGTGCTGGGAAACCCAAATTACGTTACCAGGACATGATTAAAGTGAGCCTCACACGTTCTAATCTTGATTGCAGATCATGGGAATCGAAGGCGGTTGATCGTGGTGCATGGCGCGATCTAATCACGAAGGCAGTTGCTGAGGTGCGGGAGAAAGCCCTCATGCATGCAGAGAAGAAGCGGCAAGTGCGGAAGCGGCAAGCACCGATGAATTGTACTCCATCGACATCGAGCGCATTGTGTTGTAGAACATGCGGTCGCGAGTGCCTTAGTCAGGCAGGCCTAGTGAGCCATGAGAGAGGTCACTCGGGACCACTGCCGAAGCGACGACGGGTCCCGCAGTGAACGTAGGCAGCACCGGCGCAGCGTTTGTAGGCACGCTGAATTCGATTTACTAACCGCGTGCTTGCATGCTAAGTCTCTTTATTTCAGGTGGTGGGTTTTCGGTTCTCTCCTAATGCCTTTCTTTCTCATATAAATGTCTAGTGGGCCATGCGCTGTGTCATTTGGGGCCACTACAGAAGCGACGACGGGTCCTGCAGAGAATTACGACGAGCCGGCGCAGCGTTTGTAGGCACGCTGAATTCGATTTACTAACCGCATGCTTGCATGCTAAGTCTCTTTATTTTAGGTGGTGGGTTTTCGGTTCCCTCCTAATGCCTTTCTTTCTTTCTCATATAAATGTCTAGTGGATAAATGTCTAGTGGGCAATGCGCTGTGCCATTTGGGGCCACTACAGAAGCGACGACGGGTCCTGCAGAGGATTACGACGAGCCGGCGCAGCGTTTTTAGGCACGCTGATTTCGATTTACTAACCGCGTGCTTGCATGCTAAGTCTCTCTATTTCAGGTGGTGGGTTTACAGTTTGTGCCTAATGCTTTCCTTTCTCATATGAATATCTCCATGTACTCTATTCCATTAACTTGCACACATAGCTTCAGCCAATTGTATTCGATTTCCATAACATTTTTGTGTTCGTGGCATTCCGTGAACTATACTTCCTGACCTCGTGCACTTAGCTAGGATTTGTTTGTAAACAACTTATTACGTATGCTATTTAATTAAGGTTTATGTCACCGTTTCCTTATGCATTAATCGAGTTTTTCTCTTTTTCTTTCTCTCCCTCTCAAGTGTTTGGCTGTTGTTTGATATCCCCGGTGTGGCTGCGCTTGATGTGCATGTTGACAAGGTGCCTACCTGTCTATTACCCACTACCTCGTCCATACTGGCTCCAGGAGACAGTTGGTCGTTGCTGGAGGGGACGGGGTGCACGGTCCTTGTGGCCGTGTTAGGCTCGAAGAGTGGTTCCATGCACTCAGTGTGGAGCGGACTACGGTCCAGCCACCGCCTTGTGTGCGGTTGATTCCCCAAATACAGTGTGCTTGTGTTTGCCTGTGAAGGAGTGTGGGCCGGCTCCGTTGATGAAACGTGGTTCCCATCCGCATGCCTCCCGGTCTTATTCCTTCGGGTTTACACTGGATATGGGGTATGTGGTTGGAGCTGTGGGTGGTGCAGCGCAAGCCATCCATGGTCCCTCTGTAGGCGCAGGCGTCCTGTGGCTTGCCACAGTGACCAAATTAATTTGTTAACACCCACAACTATGCAGATTTTGCATTGAGCTAATTTGTTCATACGAAGCAAACCTATTAACGGTGTAGCAGATTTGCCGTAAATTTACATGTGGCCTAAACATAAATTAAAACCCAATTACGTGGTCTAAATATTCAGCAGATTTGTCTAAAATGTATGGGTCTTTAAAGGTGATATTACATATAATTATGAGTTTACTCCTGACGTAATTTGAATCGAATATTTGTTACAGATTTGCAAGTAATTATTTTAACATGGACTGATATAACAATGGTTCTAGCTAGAATCTGAGATACTGATTATTCAACAAACATCCTTGGAAAGCTAATTTGCTTTTCAATCAGTAATTGCTTGATGGGATACATGAACATTACGAATGGAATACTGAGAGTCAAGACTATAGAATTATCAGTAAACGACACCGAATTTGAATATCCAGGAAGAACAGATATGTACATTAAGAGCTTTCGCAACAAACGTGAAGTTAACCTTGTATCATGTGACCCTGTACAACCTATTGCCAAACAACAATATGCCTGAAAGTCTACCACATTATTTCCAAGCGGCTTAGTTGCGGGTCTTCAAGAATTTGTTGACTGCTACACTGATGTTAATCACAAGCAAAGGTAACTAGGAGCCGCGTTTGACGAGAATTTAGGGAACAGTACTAGAGGTAGGACTAAATCGTTTTTATTCCTGGAAACGTTGAACTTAGATGTGTTTAGCGAGGGCCGGAGAAAGGGTAACGCATGAAAACAAAATACCTCAAATGTACTCAGTTCCGAAACAACATTTGGAATAATAAGGCAAAAATGCAAAATTTAATATGTATGTACAACATACGAAAAATTGTTATGTAACATGAAATAGCCATTCAGCTTTAATGCTGATCATAAGCATCCTTTCGTAGAACTGCCAGGAATAACCCCGAGTGCAGTTATGGCGATGTGCGTGTGAACGCACGAAACACTGATGGGGTTGCGCGGAGTCGCATGAGGTCATGCATGTTGCTTAGTTGATTCTGATGGCTACTTATGTGCGAAAGTTGATGCATCCTTGGTACGGGCTCTGCTGACTACAAAAACTAACCAATTCAAAACTAGATCCAGCTAGACATTTCCTATTTATCCATCACGTACCTGAGTTCACTTAGGTAAAATACCCACACTGCTAGATTTATAGTCAGTTGCAATTACTACCTGCTTCCGTAGACCAATTGAACTCTTTGTCGTTGGAAAGTCGTGATCATAACCTCACGTACTCAGCACGGTTGTCGTCTGAAATCGCGGATGTACTTTGACGGAGGTACATTGACGTATATTATAAGGTGATAAAAAATGGAAATGGGGACCCTAATTCCTGCTATGCTTTGTTACAAAGATTTGTTAAATAAAGCAGTTTGGGGCGTAATATCCACAGTAGCAGCGTATAAGTTACGAATTGTCGGAATTGCAAAAAGGTACGCCAATGGTGGGCTTTCGTTTGACTCAGGGTCATAAAGGGCTGTAAAGTGTACTGTGTTATCAAAACGTCATTTGAATAACGCCAGTGTTGTGGATAAAACAATGTGAGTTTGGCGGGCCTTCCTGTAATGGTTTAAAATTCCTGTGCATTTCAACCTTTATTGTGTGTCCAGTTTCTGCTGGCACGCTGTCAGGATGATACTGTTGGGCGGAGCCTGGGATACTAGTCGGTAAGCAATGACACGTAAGACGTGTCAAATACGACAGTATAGAAGTCGGAGGCAACTGAACCCAACGTATATTGTACAGGCTACAAAAATAGGAAGCGAATCAGAGAGAGCGAGGAACGTGCAGCGTGGAACTCACAAAAACGGGTTGTGACCATGGATGTGCAGTCAGTTAAACAAATGGACGTTTCGAAGGTTAAAACAACTATAAAATCCAATGTTATAAGATACTGAAAGAGCATGTTTTCAGTTGCACTACAAGGGCCTCCCCCCAGAAGGCTGAAGGGTGGAAGCCATCGATGGAGCTGTTAGTGGGGGGAACGGAAGGTGAGGGTGGATGCAAACGTTTGTAGGGGCTTGAGAATAGCTTCCAAAGTGGGGTGTAGCAGATTTCGCTGGGTCCAGGCTTTTGTTAGTTTTATTTATGACGATCGTGTGGACCAGAGTGCATCATCGGTGGGCCGTCGGGGCGGGCTGGTCGGACTGCAAAAAAACTGGCTAGTCCAGAAAAAAGGCCGACAGGACCTTCCCATTGCTGCAGACCCGACGGTGCGCTTGGGAGGTGTCACTCCCCCCACCGCACTTTAGTCCACGGTCCTCGTCCCACGAAGAAATCCAGGCGTGCTCGTCCCACGAAGGAATGCGGGGCGTCCTCGTCCCACGAAGAAATCCGGCGTCCTCGTCGGCAATGCCTAGGCGGCGTTTAGGGACCAATCCTTCGCGGGTGTCTGCGATCGAGGGCGGGGAATGGGGTGAGGATGGGGGCTGTGGGACGGCTGGCGAGTCACTCCAGGGTTGCGTTGAGCCGGTTGGCGAGTCACTCGAGGGTTGCCTGGGCAGTTCCGGCGGTTGAGTTTCTGGAAGATAGAACTCAGAGGGGTTGGCAAGGGTCTGGGAAGTGGCTTGACGCCGGAGAGGGAACATGGCATGTATGATAAAAGCAAATACGCTTTTAGGTTTTTCAAAATGTTTTGGGTTTTTTTGTCGATTTTGCAAAACGTTTGTGGGTGAGACGCAGGATAACCATTAAAGACGAAAAAGGCGTGTTAATGGAAATAGCAAACGCTTACAAAATCGGAAAAAACGGACCGGACGTTTGACCTGTCTACCGCGTCGGTCGGTTGCCTGGGGTTGCGGCGGGATAGGTTGCGGGTCAAGGGGTACGGAGGGTCCGGGTTATCCAGTGCTCGGGAAGTCACCACAGGTGCGGGTGCTTGTGCGAGAGCATCAGGATGGGCTGCAAGTGGCTCGTCAAAGAAAGCCACTTTGAGTCGGTCGATGGACACCGTTGTTCGATGACCATTCTGGTCTATAGTAAAATGTTTCGGAGTCCGTTGCAGAACTCTGAAAGGGCCAGTGTAGGGAGGCTGGAGAGGGCGCCGCACTGCGTCGGTGCGGAGGAAGACGTGAGTGCAGGTAGAGAGTCCGCTGTGCATTTGCACATCTCTAGTCTGTTCACGGGGCGGGGTCGGGCGTAGTGAACGCATGCGCTGGCATTGAAGGCAGGCGCGAGCCCAGGTACGAACATCTTTGTTTACGCGTGGCCAAACGAAACGTTCGGTGACCAGTTTCAAAGATGCACGGATACCGGGATGTGACAGTGAGTGAAGTGCGTCAAAGACTGTGCGTCTGAAGGAGACGGGCACGAGAGGTCTAGGACAACCTGTGGACGTGTCACAGAGGATGGTTCCTTCCGTGGTTTGGAGAGGAACAGGTTGCACATGCAGCGAAGTGGACTGCAGAGTGCGCTGTATATCTTCGTCTTGAGCCTGAGCCGATGCCATTGCGGCAAGGTCGACGGTAGGCAAAGACTGCAGAGTGAGGTTGACGCGTGAGAGAGCGTCGGCGACGGGATTGTCGACACCTGAGACATGACGTATGTCAGCAGTGAACTGCGTGACAAAGTCTAGGTGTCTTGTTTCCCGTGGTGAGTATTTGTCGCTAGCAGAGTTGAAGGCAAAGATAAGGGGCTTGTGGTCAGTGTAGACCGTGAAAGCGCGGCCTTCAAGTGTGTGCCGGAAGTGACGTATCGCTAGGTAAATGGCCAGCAGTTCTCTGCCAAACGTGCTGTAGCGGGATTCCGCTGGCTGCAGGCGCTTGGAGAAGAACCCAAGGGGTTGCCAGCGCCCACCAACGTGTTGTTGGAGGACGGCTCCTACCGCGACGTCTGAGGCATCAGTCGTAATAGAAAGAGGTGCAGTCGATTCGGAATGAGCGAGGAGGGCTATGTTGGAGATAGCATCCTTGAGCTCGGCGAAGGCTGCCTGTGCTGTTTCAGGGAAAGCGAACTTACGTTCATTTCCTCTGAGTAGGTCAGTCAGTGGCTGCATGAGCTGAGCGCAGCGCGGAATGAAGCGTCGATAGTAGTTGACCAAACCACAAAATCGACGGAGGTGCTTGAAGGAAGTCGGAGCTGGGAAGTCCTTGATTGCCTGGATCTTATCAGGAAGGACTTCGATACCAGACGATGAAACGACGTGGCCTAGGAATTCTACCGTTGATTTGCCGAGTTCGCACTTAGTCGGGTTGACTGTGACACCGTGTTGGGTCAAGCGCTGGAAGAGAGCTCGAAGATGCTCGAGATGCTCTTGTTCCGATGAACTGGCTACTAAGATATCATCGAGGTAGGAATATGCGAAGTCAAGGCCACGAGTAACATCGTGGATGAAGCGCTGGAAGGTTTGTGCGGCGTTGCACAGTCCAAATGGCATCCTTAAAAATTCAAACAAACCGAAAGGAGTGATGACGGCTGTTTTAGGAATGTCATTGTCTTCCACAGGTATCTGGTGATAGGCGCGAACCAGATCGATCTTGCTGAAGATCGTCTTACCTGTGAGGCATGCGGTAAGGTCCTGCATGTGTGGGATGGGATACCTATCTGGGACGGTTAGGCGATTGAGTGCGCGGTAATCACCGCAAGGGCGCCAGTCACCAGATTTCTTGGGGACCATCTGCAGGGGCGAGGACCAAGGGCTATCGGAAGGGCGGATTATTCCAAGTTCAAGCATGTGCTCAAACTCCGCCCTAGCTACCTTTAGTTTCTCAGGCGATAGTCGGCGTGGACGGCATGCCACAGGTGGGCCATTCGTCCGTATGTGGTGCGTGACTTGAGCTGCCACGGGCAAAGCTGCGTTCATTGGCTGAACGAGCTTGGGATACTGAGAAAGGAGATTAGCGTAGGCTGACGAGGTCTGGGGAAATGCATAGACCGGAGACATAGATGTCACATCGGCGGTGCTGCCACGTACGCTGAGTTTTGTTGCAGTGTCGACTATCATCTGGCGTTTTGCATCGACCAAGAGGTCGAAATGCCTGAGAAAGTCAATGCCGATGATGGCAAAGGGGACTGCAGCGACGGTGAATACCCAGCGGAAAGTGCGCCGAAGACCTAGGTCCAGGGTAAGTGACCGATGACCATAGGTGGCTATTGGCGTGCCATTGGCGGCACTGAGGCTTGTCGATAGAGAAGCGAGAGGCTCACCTGGCATAGGGGGAATGACGCTGACTTCCGCCCCGGTATCGACTAAGAACTGGGTATCGGAGTCATAATCCCTAATGTAGATGAGACGACTTTGAGCTTTGCCGACGGTCGTGGCCATTACAGCCCGGCGTGGCGGATCATCTATAGCGGAGTAGCTACAAGGCTGTGCGCACTTACGGGCTTTGGTACCGAAACGCGAGTGGTAAAAGCAGTAACCCGAGGAATCAGGTTTTGTGCGACGGTGCGATGATCCGGAGCGGTTGCAGTGCTTACGTTTTAAGGTGAGTTCTTTGATCTGGCGCTGTAGCAACGCTATCTGCAATGATAATGCGTCTATTGCCGACGGAGGGCTAGTCGAGCCTGTCGTGGTTGCGCCAGCGCAAAGCTGCTTAAGTGCTTTGGTTTCAGTCTCTGGCTGGTGCCGTTCGATGACGCGGTCTGCTAGATCTGCAATTGCTGTGATGGGCAAGTCCCTTGCTACTGCAAGGATAGCCTGTGTGCTTTCAGGAAGGCGTTGCATCCACAGCTCGCGGAGAATCCCTACGTCCATGTTGGACGTGCCGATGAGCTGTTGCATTTCGCGCAACAAGGCTGAGGGCATCCTACCTCCTAGCTGCAGATCACTAAATAGCTGCTGCAGACGGACCTTGTCAGAAGGCGTGATTCGCTGAATAATAGCCTGTTTAAGTGTCTCGTATTTCATTACTAGAGGGGGGCAAAGTATGATGTCTCTCACCTGCGAGGATATATTCTGTGGAGGGCAAGATATTAGCTGGTTATACATGAAGAAATCAGAAGAAATCTTACGAATATAAAGTACGGATTCTAAATGTAAAAACCATAATAAAGGATCATTCTCCCAAAAAGGGGGAGGGGCTAAGGCAACAGAATTGACCATGATAGGCTGAACGGCGTTAACCGCGCATGGAGACCGATTATCCTCTAGATTATCCTTTGCAAAAAGCGGATAAAATATGTGGTAGGTGAGAAAACAATATGATCACAAGTAATGAATCACAAAATCACTGGAAAGAGCTCACCAGAATGAAAATGCAAGATGGCGGGCGGCGTGTTCCTGACAGGGGGTCACCACTTGTTGGGCGGAGCCTGGGATACTAGTCGGTAAGCAATGACACGTAAGACGTGTCAAATACGACAGTATAGAAGTCGGAGGCAACTGAACCCAACGTATATTGTACAGGCTACAAAAAAAGGAAGCGAATCAGAGAGAGCGAGGAACGTGCAGCGTGGAACTCACCAAAACGGGTTGTGACCATGGATGTGCAGTCAGTTAAACAAATGGACGTTTCGAAGGTTAAAACAACTATAAAATCCAATGTTATAAGATACTGAAAGAGCATGTTTTCAGTTGCACTACAATACTAAGATTTAGCTTCAGGTGCTACTGACATGTGCTTTTCGGATTCCTGAGGAGCAAAAATAGCTTAACCAAGCTATCGCGCAAACATCGGTACTAGCCGTTACTGACAACAAATAGTTCCAGCCTCAGTTGTTAACAAAGATAAAACGGACCATTTACCTGTTTGGTCATCAATCCTTGTGACAATTTTATTGCGGTATAATCATGTAGGTGCCTTGGCTGCCAGGCGTGAATAGCTTATTCTGCGTGCAGCCTGATGTAGGCGTTGAGCACCTGGGGAAAGATTGTAAGTTTAACGCGTCCAAATGCTTACCGCAAATGGCAAATACTTGATTCGCTTTTATGGTGATTTATTGGTCAGAGGTGAACCGCAAACATATCCTTATATTATTACACCTGGGTCACTTTCCGTGGAGCGCGCCATGATAACGGATCATCCAGCGCATACTAATGATCCGAATGATGGTGTACACGAAGTAACATAAACTGGCGGATTTGAAATGAAACCTATTCTAAGTCGCCTATTTGCTTGTCATATCAAGGTAATCCTTAAATGTTACGTGGTCACACTATTTTTGATGGCACACGTTACCGTGGAATATTCAACGCTAACTAAGGAATTGGATGAAATAGCTTTCTTGCGATTATTTTTCCTAAATCAAGCATAGGGGTGGATTTTTACTGAGCAATGAGGCACTTTACACTGGGTATCAATATCATCATAGATGGTGTGCGCTCCAGTACTTGTAGAATTTACTGTAAATAACCTACGGGAAAATTGTAAAATTGCATATTGCCAAAAGGGGCGTGCAGTAAGTCTGATTATATACATTATTACAGTCATTATTTTGAGGTTATAAAGGAAGTGCTCTGCGTTCCAATATCACGCATTTATTTTGTTGGATAGTTTAAGCTGATATGTTTCAGCAATTAATGTCAACTTGTTCTACCTGTAGAGTGACTTTCTTGAGACTACCCTCGTACTCAACCTGCTGCGTATTAAAAAATTACCATCCTTACGCCTGAAACACCATTTCTCGAAGCAAAATTAAATTGATGAATTAAAACTTGCTAGACAACGTTCGTGTCTGTAACCAGC